TTTAGATTGGAACATGTAACATGTTCTTACTCCTGTCACGTCTCCCCACTATGCTGCATCTAGTAATAGCTAGCAGGGGATCTTCTCGCCCCGCTAGCTGTCACTATTTTTAAAACAACACGGCCATGCGGGGCTCCGCCCGCCCAGCAGCTTCTTTCATTCACAGAGTTCTGTGAGTGGGAAACTACAAGTCCCAACAGCCTTAGCGGCTGTCGGCTTCTAGTTCTCAATGAACTACCATGGTGCTGTTGAGCTCTCTAGGTAGTTCTTTCTGTCAGTGTGTATATGTCTGTCCATTGTAAGTACGAGCAGATACACTGACAAATCTGCAGGAGTGCTGAATGGCGCCTGTGATCTGCTGATTGTGGGGGCAATGCTTTACACGCTCCAAGAGAAAAAATCTTTAACCACTGAAACTGCTTTTTAAATGACTCAAAAATGCAAGGGAGGGGCGGTGACGTCATCACACATCCACAGAGGAAACGGCGAGTATAGCGAGTGAACACACACACACACCTGCAGGGCTGTTTGCAGGAGGACCTGGATTTATTTACACAAAAGCGTTACTTTTGCTGATACCATGTGAGTGGGAGATCAGAAGCTCATTAAACATTTTTACTCAGGATAAGACACTATGTTTCTTTTTCCCTTTTCAATGTATGTATCGTTCATGGAGGAATAAGCCAAGCAGATAGAGGAGAAAGTCCTAATTGAGAAAAGCTGAATTGAGGAGAAAGGAGAGGAGGAAGGAGAGAGAGGTTCATGTCATGAACATAGACTTACCACGCCAATCAGATTGATTCACATTACCATCTCAATTTGTATGAACTGAACTATTTTTTATATTTTCATTATATATCATTATATATTTTTTCACTTTTGAATAGTTTTTCAGGCACGCAGTTTTTTTTGCATTGATTTACAAATATTAATGACATTTTTTTGATTCACTTTAATTATGGATTCAAGTATTATGCAATTATGAATTTAAGTATTATGGATATAGATTATTATTGAATTTTTAGTTATACACTATATTTATTTATTTATTTAGAGCACTTAGATTTATTAATTTTGGAGCGCGGTACAACATAGATATATGCTTTTTAAATGACACTACCATGATAGGGCTCATATACACTGTCTACCAATGGTGGAGCATCAGCTGCCAGGTAAGGATGAGCTCATGTGTGTTCGGATTGTAGTGGAGCCCACCTGTGTGATTGCACCAGCAATCTGTTAATAGACCCGGTCAATAATAAATAGGAGAAGTATTCCCCACCCTACAGCCTCATGTATACAAGCCCCTTGCAGGGGCGAACTGACCATTGGGGAACTTGGGCACTGCCCGAGGGCCCGGGGTCAGTAGGGGGCCCCATGAGATGTCCCTGGTACCTTTCATAGGCTTTTTTGGGTGTGATTTGAGTGTGGGCGAGAACACAGGGGCCCCATGATCCCCTATTGCCCGGGGGCCCCATGATCGTCTATTCCCCGGGGGCCCCATGAGTTGTCAGTCCGCCCCTGGCCTCTTGTATTGTATATGTACAGCTGTGGGGGGGATGCCTCGGATGCTCATTATTGGCCCAGTACAGGCAAAGTTTCCCAGTGGGATCACTCAGGTGGGTTCAGATTAGGATCCGAATAGACCTGAGCTCATCCCTTCTGCCAGGCATTCAGGAGGAGATACTTTTTTGGAGCCAAAGGATGATTTATTAAAATTAAAATACCACACCACAACCAAAAGCCAAATGTCTGCCTCTCAGTTGCAGTGTGGCCCACTGACTTGAATGGGTCACATGACCTGCCTGGTAAACAAAGCCTTAACATCCAAAGACCTATACTAGCTGCCTGTGTAAACAAATCCTTAAAGTGGTATAGTGTGTACTAGCCTTGATCCGAAGCTAATAGTGTGGATTCTATCTGCTGTCTCTTCTCTCTGTTTGCATTAGCACTTCTGACAGTCTATGTTGATCCCACAAAATATGGGGAGACCCTGACCTCCAGCAAATAACAGGTAATTGACAGCCTCAGCTGTGCATTATTCTCTAGGAGCCTGTGTAGAGAAGGCTGTGTCTCTTCATTCAGGTCTCAGATTACACTCAGCTCTGTACTCTATGTTGTGCAGTGTGTAACATCAGATCACCACCCCCTGCCTGCCAGAGCCCGGAAATGCTGTGTAAAATGTGTGCTTTAGGAGGCTGTAGAGATAAAATGACTGAAGATAAACAGGTACAACTTACTGTATGTAGCAAGCTTTGTTTCATCTCTATGTATCACTTCATTTGGTGTATATATATGGGTTTACAACCACTTTAATGGAATTTATTGACTGGCTTTACATATAATTATATAGATACTGTATATGGACAGCCCACAAGCTTCCATTGAGCTTTAAGTTTTTCTTAATTTGAACCTTTCTCTTTATCAAAAATGTCAAACATAAAAAACAGAATTTGCAATAAAACCTGTCTTTACATGGGGGGGAACTATCGGTGGTGGAGCTTCACCAGGAAACAAAGGGCCTTAGAAGGGAAACCCTTAGGTGGAGCTGTTTTCATGATGCCGCGGGAAGTATGATCTCCTCCGCATGCGTCTCACTGGTAAGTAAAACCTTGACTGCTACTGCAGATAATTATCCCAGCTTATCAGAAAGACTGAGCAGCATATGAGCTCCTCTTATTGATTTTTCCTTAACAGCAATAATAATAGCAACAAGTAAAAAGGAAATAAAATAAACACCGGGGTCATTAGGGAAGGCTGCTGCTGTATTGAGCAGAGGCCAAAGCTCATTGTAGAGGAGAGCCGGTCGGCTAAGAGGCAGGCTGGGCAACACGCAAGGCTAATAGGTGAAAAGTACTATGATTACCAGAAAGAATTGAAGAGAGGGATGATGAGTGAGTGTTCTCTGCCTTATCTTCCTGTGCATTCATGAAACAGTCAATACTAAATTCAGCTCCAAATCAATCCAGAGTAACTGGCAAGAAGCAATTGACATCTGCTGAATACATCCTAGTCATTTCTTACAGGGAAATTGCAGGTTTTGTTACTTCGTGATTAGGTGTTAAGTACATGCAAGACACCATATGTTTTCTAATGAATAGTGTGTACTATGGGCAACTTTCTGTCTTTTACGTATTAAAAAAAAAACAGTTTTATAGAGCGGTCGCATCTCCTTTGCCTTCAAATAGATGTAAATCCTACCTAAATTACATTTAGTTTGCTAAAGCACTGTGAACCAAAATCTGAATAAAATATCTGTTTTTTTTTTACATTTGTTGCATCTCAAAGCTGCTGCTGATCTCCTGCATTCTCTTTGCAGCCAATTTGTGTCTATGCCTGCCTGTAAGGGTCCCTGATTGGGTGGCGGTTCACACCATGTTGACTCTGGACCTGCTTTGCTTCTTTTGTGGGTGGGATAGTCACTTACATGGGATTTGGAGAAACTCCATCATATTGTGTCATCCTTCTCCTTCTGGCCTGAGACCCAACTCTTTCATATTCCCGACTGTCAGCCTGTTACCCGGGATAAAAGAATGTCCAGTCCAGGTGATTTACTGCACAACCCAGGCACCATATCAGTTCATCACTTGTAGACACAGTCAATAACACGACATCTTGACAGACGTCTCTGGTACAGAACACAATACCTCCTTCTTTGTGTAGGCAGGTGCAGTCTGTTTTCACCACGGCAGGTGATGCTCAACTGTGGTACTACAGCCTGGAGAGAAAGTCAAGGGAAGCCTGGTTTCTCTGAGGTTTCCTGAATCATGGAGCAGCCATTCTGGTTGGGTACACTGCATTCATGTGACCCCTGGCACCCATCTTGGGTCTGCAGGGTCTTTTATAAGCCCCTGCCGCTAGGTTTTGGCGTACATTTGTGAAGTGGGTGGGGTAAGGAAATAGAACCCATCTGATAGGCAAAGTGACTAGTGGCAATGAAAGGTTCCTGACAGGTTAAGGATTGGCTATCTTCAAGGAAGTCTCCCCTTTGGGACCAGACTGGCTAGGCCGCACCTCACCCTTAGAAACAGAAGCTGTTGGTGTATCACTTCCTGTTACATCTCTGCATTTGAACTGAACTGTGAGTGTTTCTCCTAAGCGGAGCTCTCCCACTAGGGTGTTTGTAGTTTGGAATTCTCTTCAATACAGTTCCAAGTTTCAGACTCTGTGTATTTACTGCCGCCACTGCACCACGCTGCATCTCCCCACATGCAACTTCCTATCAAAATCTTCAGTGCAGAACACTTTCCTTGATGGATCATACTTGGGTGTTTCCTCCACACACATGGGATGCTTCCCCTGAGGCTGTCCGAAACCAATCCACAGGACCCACTAGCCGAAGGTCAAGGGTGGCAAGGTTTCTCATTCTGTCCCCAATGTGTCCTCGCACTGATCACCCTGGCAGTTAAGACCTGAAGAGGGCTCTCTGTCTTTCTCCAGCACAGCTCTACATTTTTCTGAACAGGGGTGTCCTGCTTCCATACCCTAACTCCCTTGGACCTCACTGATAGCTGACATATAAAGGGGCACTAACTCTACCCACTATATCACTAAAAGAGGGGCCACAATTAAAAGGGCACTAACAAATCCAACAAACCAGCGATGGCTGCATGGTATTTTTGAGGGCGAGTTTCCTTATGGTGACAAAATTAGACCATGCCTGAACAATGTGTGGTGAAATGGACACCTGGGGTCTCTACTCAAAGCCAAGGTGACAACACAGGAGCAAAAATGGACAGGATTGGAGCATTGTACACCTATATACACGAAGTGTCTAAACAAGGACCTTTATAGAAGGATCAACACAGACCAATTTATTAAAAGCTGCAAGTAAAAAAAAAAGAACATTTTGAAATTACATTAACATGTTCAAACTTATATACTCTTTAACCGCTTCCACACCGCCCTATAGCAGATATACTGCTACAGAGAGGCAGGGGTGCACAAAATCACACATATATATATATATATATATATATATATATATATGTGAGTGTGTGTGATTTTGCATTTCCAGGTAGGGGGCGTGTGCGCCCTACCCGTGCCGCCATTTACGGCCTTGGCTGTCAACCACTCGGTGTTTACCGAGGATCTCCGATGGGGAGGATGGCTGCTTTGTTTACTAACAGTCCTTCTCCCTGTCGGCTCAGGCACAGCACAGCCCTCCAGAGCCGTGTGCTTACAGTGAAGCACCAACACCCCCCAGTAAAACACTCCCAGTACACAGTTAACCCTTTGATTGACCCTCATGTTAACCCCTTCCTGCCCAGTGCCTTTAGTATATTGTCAGTGCTTTTTTTTTTAGCACTGATCACTGTATTGGTGTCACTGGGGATGTCAGTGACACCAAGTCAGTTCCCCCCAGTGTGAGAATGTCTGCCGCAGTCCCGCTATAAGTTGCTGATCGCCATTATTAGTAAAAAAAAAAATTACAGTATCTATACCGCCATTTTTAAACGCTATAACTTTCACGTAAACCAATTAATGTACACATATTGAGATTTTTTTTTTAGCAAAGACATGTAGCAGAATACATTTTGGCCTAAATTTATGAATTTTTTTACTGGACATGTTTAATAGTAAAAAGTCAAAAATATTGTTTTTTTTCTCAAAATTGTTGGTCTTTGTTTTTATAGTGCAAAAAAATAAAAAATACACAGGCGATCAAATACCATCGAAAGAAAGCTTCGTGGGATAAAAGAACGTAAATTTAATTTGGGTGCAGTGTTGCATGACAGCACAATGGTCAGGAAGGGGGGGTAAATCCTCAGGAGGGCAAGTGGTAAAAGGGTATGGTTATAGAATGAAAATAAAGGGGATGTTAAAAATTAATTCCAGGTATGGATATTTTTACATAGTTACATTAGTCCAGCTATCATAACTCTTTTGAACTCTCTAGATGCTCAAAATCACTGTAGTGATCTCCAGTGATATCCACTTACTTTCCGTGCCAAACGGTTGCCCTGCTGCATTGCGAACACAGGAGATCGCCTGCTTGGTATATTTACCATTCAGAGTAATGTCACTGTCTCAACTCTGTACTTGTCCAATCAGAGAACACTTTGCATTCATTGAGAGAATGCAAATCGATCTCTGAATGGTGCCTGTGCCAATTGGGTTCAGTAAGTAGCAGGGCAGCCGCTCAGCACAGGACCCAGAAGCTAGAGGAGATCACTGGAGTAGAGGTGCCTAATACCGTGGTTAGAACTTCTAGGGTGATCCCACAGGTATGTTTGAAGGAAGATGCAGTCTGCTTTCTCCACTGTGGATAGCTCTCGAACCTGAGTGGTACCACAGCCTGGAGAGAAAGTCGAGGGAAACAGGGAAGTTTCTGCCCAATTAATGCCCCAACATTGGCAAGATTAAACTGCCTAATGTGTTAATTTCTACTAAAGTTATTGTAAACCCTAAACACCTTAATGTATTCCCTGCATTAAGGTAAAAAATGTTTTAGAATGCATTTTGCCCCCTCACCCAAACTTATACTTACCTGAGACTGATCTTGATCTAGCGCTGTGCCTGTCTGTAGTGGCTCTCTCCTCTTTTCCCTGCTTTTCACAGGCTATGCTGGGAGCAGCGGGAGCCATTGGCTCTCACTGCTGTCAGTAAAATTCTGTGATCAGGGCCCAAACCTCTTTGTCTGCGTGTATAGACACAGCCAGCGGGGCTCAGGATCAAGCCCGCAGCTGTGTCACAATGGTTCCTATGGTGGCACACAGAGAAGAGGAGATGCCAGGAGTGCCAGTGGGGGACACCAGTAGAGGATGTGCAGGGATGCTTTGTGCAATATCACTTCACTGACCAGGTAAGTATATCATGTTATTTTAAAAAATGACTTTACAAACACTTTAAGTACTATGCTCTGTCTTTAAGTGTGTTTCATGTCCCACATCCAGGATACATAAGTCATGTCTGACACTAATAACAATGCAATGAATACAGTTTAACAATGATATTATATTGGATGAATGGCTTTATATTCTGAATATGTCTGTGCTACAAACCAGTGGTTTTACATGAGTAGTTTGCCACTTGTGCATAATGGTTTTTAATAAATCAGGAATAATCCACTCATTTTCTGATTTGTAAGATGATATGTGAATACCTTCTGTTTTAAGACGATTATGCTGTTCTTAAAGCTCAATTGCACACAGGCCAGAAAATAGGCAGAAGCTTTTTTTATATTGTTCCAAAAGCTTCAACTGCCAAGTCTTACTGCTTCGAGTCCTTTTGTTGCTTCCCAGCACCGGCCACAAATCCAAGGAATGGGCAGCATGATGCACAATAGGACTTCTGCTCCCTGTGTACGATCAATGGTGGCTGTATGTAAGCAGGTGTGCCTGTGTTAAATGTATTTTCTGCTGTGTGAACTACACTATTTAGTTGATGCTGCCCAGCAGAAATGGGTTTACTGGGTTTAGTTAATTAAGCAAATAACTCTTTAAACTGCCACTGCCAACTTTTTAAGAGTTGGAAATATTCACAAGATTAGCAATAAAAATTATAATTGTAGCCTCCCTGGCGGTATTCCCGAGTGTAGCTCGGGGTAAAGTTTCAGTACCACAAGCGGTAACCCCGAGCTACACTCAGGCTTACCATGCGGCGCTGCTCCGGGATCAGTTCTTCCCTTACCTTGTCCTGCGCGCTCCCGCGATGTCCCTCCTGCAGTGTCCCCTGTAATGTCCTCTGGCGGATGCTGGCATCTGTCTTCCGGGGTCCGTTCCCTGCGACATCGGGACGTACAGGGACGGAATGGCGGGAAATTTGAAAATGACAAAAAGTGACATTCACTAAATTCACTAAAATAAAGTAAACCATTACTGTATCAAACCATTTCACATACATTTTGTCCCTAGTGTTTTGTCCTGTGCCCTGCCTACATTTTTACTGTTCTTTCTCTGCCTGGAAACTGAGAAACATCCATGGTGTCCAAAAAGCGTCCCTTTAGGTCAAAATCGGTTTTAGACCAGCTAGAGAACAGCGATAGTAAATCAGAACCACTTGCAGAATTGAGTGATAATGATTTGTGGGGGAAATTCGTCATCAGACACTGAAAATGATTTTGCGACTTTGCTTAGTGATGTGCGAACGTGGCGCTATATTTCAAATTTCAGTGTTTTTGGTTTGATTATATTATTGAATTAAATTTTATTATTATTATATTATTATTTTTTATGATTATTTATTAAATTATAATTTATGATTTCGTGTTTCAAATTTTAACATACCCGGGATGTTTATTAGACTCTTGTTTGGACAGATTTCAGTGAGTTATTCCTAAAAATTACAGGCCTACAATAAAAAAAAAAATACATATTTACATGCAAAAAAATGTACCGCTTTGAGCACAGAAATATGGACATAATCAGACCGTTAGGGAGGTTAAAATAAACATCGGTGCACACACTGTCACCACAGACGAGTATATTCAGAGATTTATCTTTAACAATAGTGCTCTTCAAGAGACAAGGATTCTTTTAGCTTGTGTTAGCTCGTTAGAAACAGTTTCAACACTTTTAAAAATTGGGTTTAGAAATGAAAATGTCAAAATGGTGCAAATAAAATATTTACAAAAAAACCCAAAGTAACAAAGAGACAACAAGCAACAAAGAAATCAAAAGGAGTTGAGGGTGAGAATACATAACAATGTCCTGGTTTGCAGAGTCCAATGAAGAAGCAAAGACAGTGCAGTGGCTCTCTCACATCCGGTTAGGTGTTTCTTTTTTGATGTTAAACAAGAGCTCCCAAAATGTGGTTGTATTCCACTTTTCTTCACGTCAAGGTGGGTGTTAACAGAGACCATCTGACCAGTCATCTGGTCTAAGGGGTGGTTGCTGGGATGTCATTATGTTTATGACCAAGTTTCAGATGCAGTTTTGTATAGGTAATAATATCTCTGAATACCTATTGTTTATAGACTGCTAACATGCATATCATTGGCCAATGTGACATTTGCTTCAAAATGAATATAAATATGATAGATTTCAGATGTCTACTTTACCTAAGAGGGATACAGGGTGCCAATGGTTCCCCATATCCTTTAATACAGGGGTGTGTGGACCTAAAATGCTGCAAATGAACTTGGGAAGGTAAATATGTCCTTACTCTGGCTCTGCTATTATTATTTAATGAGTTATGAAATATACTGAAGTTTTGCAGTCTTGGCTGCTAACCAGTCTATCAGAAATGTGTATTGCTACAGAATGTATGATAGGGAGGAGAGTTGCCAATATCCAGTCACTCAAGCAGGCAAATCAGACTTTTTTATAGGGTTTTCCAGACTGTAGGGTAGATTCGTCTAATAGGCATGAGAGGGCCTGCACCTGTCCTTATCTGATAAGGTTCTGGCATCAGTTACCAGTTGAGTATTGCACCAGAGGCTTCCTGGGGGAATGAAGGGAAGGGAACCACTGTTGCTATTCACCAACTTGTGTTACAAACTGTAATGGCTGAATTCTGAACAACATGATGTCTTTGCCCTTTCACGCAGCTTTGTGGGGGCTCAGTACGTGGTACCATTACACTGCCATGGTGGAGGATCCTGTGAGATTTGTGGTTCACGCCGCTTTACCTGTAACACAAGCATCAGTACTTAGACAGACTGAGCTAGAAAAGATGGCTGTGTGCTGCTGCAACATGTAACTGCTGCGGATCGTCCACTATATGTGAGTGACAATGTACTGTCAAGTGATCCTGGATAGCGTGTCTGTGTGATGTGACTGTGAATGCCATCTTTAAAGTAAAACTGGTAAAGTGCAGCAACTCTATCTTTGTGTGGACATTCCTTCCTTTTGGGATATAAGGGTTAATGGCTGGGAAAGTCATGAGATGGCCTATGGCAAAGAGAGAGAACAAGATGGCAGAGGGTTAAATCCTCAAGTGAGTGGGCTGTTTTTCTGAAAGGGAAAAAACGGGCAGGGACTGGTGCTCTAGACACCATTACTAGCCCCTCGCAAGTCCCCCTTACATGTGTGAGATCAGCAGTGTCTGTATATCAGTTCGAAAAGCTCCCCTACCTTGTCAGCACTACAGCACACCAGTCAGCAGTGCTTGTTCTCCTACAAATCCATAACAGTCAGTTAGTGCCCCTTAGGTCTTGTTCACACTGTATCGTTTTAAAAAAAATTTACCTTAGCTCTGATTTTTTGGTTTTCTGTGTACACTGCATGGTGCATCCAATGTGCATAGTACATCCTAACTTTTTCTTCATATGCTCAGTGTGTGCCCCTGCCCATGTGCAGGAGTTACATTATCAGTAGCCGTCCAATGGCTGGAGGATTGCTCTGGAACTGAAAGAAGCATTGGTGAACATGGAAGTATGCTGTGCATAATATGCAAAAATGGTACATTATCCCTTTAAGAAGGTAAACTATTAAACATACAGAGAACAAACAAA